ACAATCGATCTGACTATCGATCTCACAATCGATCTCGCATTCGGTCTAACTACCGATCTCACGATCGATATCACAATGGATATCACGATCAACGTCATCATCATCAACACCATCGTCATCAACGTCATCAGCATCATCATCATCAGCATCATCGGGACACCATCACCATCATCGAAATACCACCATCATCATCATCTCATCATCATCATGATGAACAACATCATCAACACGTTATCGTCATCATCATCGAGACACCATCATCATTAGCAACATCATGATCATCAACATCATCATCATCGGAACACCATCATCATCGTCACCATCATCAGTATCATCACCATCGGGACACCATCATCATCATCATCAACATCAGCACCATCATCATCATTGGGTCACCATCATCAGAATCATCATCATCATCAGCAGCATCGCCTCATCAGCATCCTCATCATCAAGATCATCATCGGGACACCATCATCGTCATCATCATCATTATTATCATCATCATCGGGACACCATCATCATCGTTATTATCATCAACAGCATCATCATCGACATCATCATCAGCATCATCATCGGGACACCACCCTCATCATCATCATCATCATCATCTTCATCATTATCATCAAATCATCTGAACATCATCAACATCATCAGGATCATCAACATCATCATCATCATCATACTCATCATCATCATAATCATCATCATCATCGGGGCACCATCATCATCATCAGCAACATCATCGTCATTCACGTCATCAGCACCATCATCATCAACATCATCGGGACACCATCACCATCATCGGAATACCACCATCATCATCATCATCATCATCCCATCATCATCATCATGAACAACATCATCAAAACTTTATCGTCAATATCATCATCGAGACACCATCATCATTAGCAACATCATGATTACCAACATCATCATCATCGGAACACCAGCATCATCGTCACCATCATCAGTATCATCACCATCGGGACACCATCATCATCATCATCAACATCAGCACCATCATCATCATTGGGTCACCATCATCAGAATCATCATCATCATCAGCAGCATTGCCTCATCAGCATCCTCATCATCGATATCATCATCGGGACACCATCATCGTCATCATCATCATTATTATCATCATCATCGGGACACCATCATCATCGTTATTATCATAAACAGCATCATCATCAACCTCATCATCATCATCATCATCATCATCATCATCGGGACACCACCCTCATCATCATCATCTTCATCATTATCATCGAATCATGTGATCATCATCAACATCATCAGGATCACCAACATCATCATCATCATAATCATCATCATCATCATCATCGTCATCATCATAATAATCATCATCATCGGGGCACCATCATCATCATCAGCAACATCATCATCATCAACATCATCATCATCATCGGGGCACCATCATCATCACCACCATCACCATCATCATCATCAACATCGTCAACATCATCATCATCATCACCATCATCGGGACACCACCATCATCACTACCATCACCATCACCATCATCGCCAACATCATCAACATCATCATCATCATCATCATCACCATCATCATCGGGACACCGACGGGACACCGGCGGGACACCGGCGGGACACCGCGCGCCACCGGCCCCCGAGCGGGACACCGGCGGGACACCGCGGGGCACCGGCCGCCCGGTCAAGGTTCTTTTGCTCTGGCCGCGCCTCAGCCACAGGAGACTTATTTCTCGCCCGCCCACGCAGCTTCGCCTCGCCCGCACGGCACGCACGAACACGAAACCGAAACCGATTTCCCGGAAGGGGAGCTCTCCGTTCCACTTCGATCTCACCCCCTCACCTCCGATCAGGATTCCTTAGATGTTCCCATATTTTCTTGGTTTTTGTCTTCCTCCCACTTCACATATTTTCCAATATTTCCTAGGGAATCGACGATGAATGGTGTCTGTGTGTTCTTTCCCTTCCTGACCATGGAAGGCCCCGAGAGTCCGAACAGAGCGAACAACCAATGCATCGGCCATGCACTGGCGACGTTGGCGTTACATCCGCGACGTCGGCGTGGAGAAAATTGGGCCCCACATCGAGCCGCATCGCCGAACATCGCCGATGCATGGACGATGCGGCGCGATCCTCCGACCCAATCTACTCCGACCCCATTTAGGAGGCCTAGACCCATCCAAGGCCGCGCTGACGGCGTGCTTGGTTAACGGTGTGCTTGGGAATATGGCTTTTGCAAAACCGAGCTCACGTAAAACAATCTGTAGGAAATGACGAAACACCGTTTACTACATTTCAGATATGCGAATGTATCGAACGAAAAAGACGCACCGAGTTGTAGGGAAACACGGACCATGCGTTCCTACAATTGGCTTGGCCACGAACAACGCCTTCCTACAATTGGTTTCCCTGCTTCGCCGTTAACTGAAACACTGTTAGCGCGTCTACGGCCCATGGCGATCGGAATCGAAGCGGGTCGGCCCGGCCGAAACTGGAAGCAGATTGGATCGACCGGGTCGGTTCTCCTCGATGTCGGCGTCCAAGGCGCGTTATCCTCGATTCTCGATCCGCCCCTCCCTCGATCCTCCTCGTCCTCGATCCTCCTCGATCCTCCGGGGCGACAAGAACTGGCCCCAGGGAAGGGACCGGGACCCGTGGGGCCGCGCATGGGACAGATCACACCGTCGGATGTCTGGGCTGTATTGTGGTCATGTGCACCATCATCAGCATCATCATCAATCATCATCAGTAGTAGTATTATTAGCCATGTGATTGCTCTTATGAGTTTATTGTGATAGGATTGCTAATGTTATTAACCTCGGGCATTGCTCGGCTGCCGAGCAGGTTAGGTCGAGCAAGCTGCTCGCAGCTTGCGGCCAACCTCTGTGGGGTGGCCCCCCTAGAAGATCGGTGATATCCTTCGCACACGTGCGCTGCCAGCCGGCTCTAGCTGGCCAGCTCCCAAGGGGGACTGTATCGCGCGTCGCCGCGACACGAATTCACCTGCCCGTTGGCATCACATCGACCTGCAGCAGCCTGCTGCACAGAGAAAGTTTGAAGCTGTTCTGCTACCGCATGACTCCCTTGGCCAATGAACGATGCAGGAAACATCTGGGAGAACAAAGAGGTCCAGCTCCTGAGAGTGAGAATGGTATGTGCTCTGAAGTGGGTATGCATGGCGGCACCACCTCAATTCGGCACACACACACACCACGCGCTCCGTGGCCCCAGAGGGAGCTCCAACGAACCCCAAATGCCAGCTGCAATACATTGCAATACAATTAAAGGGCTGTAGCAGATTTGGGGGCGTACACTATGTTCTGGGGCGCGAATTATTGCTCGATTTGCGCGTGAAGCACGACTGTCGCAATCCAATGCACCACAGTCCCCTGGCGCAATACATTTGCAATACAGTCGCCCGTCTAGAATACATCGTCAATGCGTCGCGTCGTCCGCGCGCGTTGCAACTGCAGCGCATTTTCTGTGATGAACAATGCGCTCTTTGTCAAGCACGCCAACTCTTGATGCGAGTACTGTCGCAAATGGGCCACCGAGATCTTCGACCATATTCTGAGACGTCTGCCTGCCGTCTGCCTCATGTCTTGGTACTTCCCGAAGCCGTTTGCAAGCACTCGCTGCAAATAGCAGCGTAAATGCGCCATCACTTTCAAACGGGCCCGTCAAACATGTCAGTGCTAGCGATTGTCTTACCACCACCCCCTTTTTGCCTGAACCCCTCTGGGGCTGCCGAGGAAGAAGGAGGCCTCCGAAGCTGCCACAAGCAGGGCCCAGCAATCCAAAACAGGCCCACCTCCTGGCCTCGCCCCCGCAATGCAAGGTCTCAAGAAACGCTCCTGCTGATTGCCTGGATTCGGTCCGTAGGAAGCTCCAGCACCTTCCGCTGCCCCCTTATCGCTGCTCCAAGCTCACTACTTGTTCGGAGCGCAGCCTGCGTGGACGATGCGAGGAACAACTGCTCAAATCCGGAACCGCACGTAGTAACTGGTGCGGGGCGACGCGACGAGGACGAAGGCGACGACGACATATCCTACGTGACTCGCTGACTCATTTGGTTGGGCCCTTCGCCAAGCCGATTCTGGAAATCTTCGGCCCCCAGAGGCTCTCACCAGGCACTGGGACCGTCAAAAGCAAATCGCGATGATCAGCAGGTACCGGGGGTTCACGTTGTCGGGGGCGGCCAAGAGGGGGGCGTCCAAGAGGGGGGCGCAAATCATGGCCGGCGGCATGTGCGCGGCTCAGGGGGGGCCAGGGACGTAATGAAATAAGAAGAGACGCCATGAAATCTGAGGAACTATCATGGCCCCCGTCATGATACTCCCACACCCTAGTCATCACCCCCCTCTTGGCCGCCCCCGACGTTGTAGATAAGTCGCGACGTCGGAGATCTGCGACGGGGGGGGATATTGGGAGAGGGGCGGCCACGGAAGGTGCTGCGCGCAGCTGGCTTCGTCTCCGCCGCCGAGCGCTTTTCTCGAACTGGCGCCTGGAGAACCCGCCGCACGTACAGTGGAGGCTAGTCCACAAGAGACCTTCCACAAGAAACCCAACCCTGAGACCCCAGGACGTGCATTGATTTTTAGTGTGGGAGCGTCACGCTTTCCATAGAGCAGCCATCAAACCCAAGAAGCCCAGGGCACCCTGGAGGCAAGCAGGGTGTTTCTTGGCATGGCTCTCCACTGTAGCTGGTTCCCCCCGCCCCCCCCGCTGCTATCCCCCACTCTTCGAATAGGAGATCGACTACATAATCGATTTACTCCCAAATTGAACTCTTTCGTCGAGCATCTTTACATCTAAATAAAATGCATTTACGTATATACATGCACACGTATGTATGTGTATGTTCACATCTACATCAATCTATATATACACATGACTGCCGTTTCCGTGGGTCTACGATGTCTTCTACATAGGTGCCCGCCCTCAGTGCGGAAACGCCGTTGCCCTGGCCGCTGAGGCGAGCGCGGTGGCAACCGCGTCGAAACTCCCGCGCGAAGGCGCGGTGTCGTAGAGCTTGATGAGGTCGCCCAATGCGGCTGTCGGTAGCGAGCCCACTGGCACCTCGACGTCCGGGACGGGGGTGACCCGCACGTGGTCGCCCTTCCAGCCAGGGGGGGGGGGGGGGGGGCGTTGCTCCATGTGGGGCTGGCCTCCTCCTCCTCCTCCTCCTCCTCCTCCTCCTTTTCCCTCCTCCCTCCTCCTCCGCCTCCGCCACAATTACTCAATATGAATATACTCTCCCTCTTCCCCTGATGGCGTCCGGGTGATGGCCGCGCACCCTCCGCGTACTGTTTTTTTACACACAGGATGCCCAGGAAATCCCGGGAAACGACTCTCGCTGAGGCGCCGGCGTCATTTTTTCCCAAAATGCTGCTCTCGTTGAGGCGCCGGCCTCATTTCTGCTCCCGAATCGTTCCGAATCGTGCTCCCGCTGCAGCGTGGGCCTCATTTTCGGATCGGTGTTTGGCCTCCGTCGTTCAGGATGGCGTTCTCGCCCCAGCGCGGGCCTTTTTCTCGCGCGCCCATCCGCCCGCCACCACCGCGCCGCACCGCCACCACCACCACCACCACCACCACCACCACCACCACAACCAGCACCAGCACCAGCACCAGTACCAACACCACCACCACCAGCACCACCACCACCACCAGCACCACCACCACCACCATCACCACCACCATCACCACCACTACCACCACCACCACCACCACCACCACCACCACCACGACAACCACGCACACACGCACGCACGCACGCACGTGCACCACCACCCACTACGCACGCGCGCGCGGAGCCACAGGTCCGCTACGACACGCGTCCGCGGATAGAGAAAATCAGCGCCATGGTAAGGGATGGGAGGGAGGGGTAGGACGTCAGATATGACGCGAGCGCACCTAGCTTGTCCTCCTCCTCCTCTTCCTCCCTCCTCCTCCCACCCTCCTCTTCCTTCTCCTCCTCCTCCTCCCTCCGCCTCCTTCCTCCTCCTCCTCCTCCTCCTCCTCCTCCTCCTCCTCCTCCTCCTTCCCCCCTCCTCCAACTCCCTCCCCTCCGCCTCCTCCTCTCCTCCTCCTCCTCCTCCTCCTCCTCCTCTCCTCCTCCTCCTCCTCTCTCCTCCTCCTCCTCCTCTCCTCTCCTCCTCCTCCTCCTCCTCCTCCTCCTCCTCCCTCCTCCTCCTCCTCCTCCTCCCCACCTCCCCCTCCCCCTCCTCCTTCCTCCATCCTCTCCTCCTCCTCCTCCTCCTCCTCCTCCTCCTCCTCCTCCTCCTCCTCCTCCTATCAGTATTAGTCGTACGATTATCATTATTAATACTATTATCACTACTATTATTATTATTATTAGTATTATTGTTGCCATTATGATTATGATTCTTATCATTCGTATTATTTGTAATAACAATAATATTAGTATTACTAAATCAGTAGTAGTATTATTTGTATTATTATTGCTATTATTATTACTAGTATCATTCGTACTATTATTATTACTCTTATCATTATTATTATTATTATTATTATTAGTATTATGATTATTGTTGTTATTATGCAAGTACTGAAATAATAACTGCATGTTATCTTGGTAATTTCGGGTAGCGGAGCTGGGGTCCACGGGCCTTGCCCGACAGGGCTGGTGACATCTCTTTCCCACCTGATCATGAACTGAGCCAAAACTGGCTCTCCACAGTACACAAATGTTACAACAGCGCATGCACAACAATCCTCACTCAAATCATTGATATATCCCTTGTTTCCAGCACTCCTCCTCGGGCCCATCTGCAGCTTCATGCCAAGATTGGGCACGTAATCTGGAAACATATCAATATCGAATCATGGCCAGCGAGTGAGGGTGCCAAATCCCGACAAACTCATCAACTGTAGATATTGTCCTGTCTGATCTTGTTTAGGGCGGTCGCCACGCATGCTTCGACCACCATCGCCTTTGTATACGTCGAGATAGCCCGATCCACCCGCCGTAGCCGTAGAAACTCCCGTCCACTGTCTATGGTCATAGCTGTGAACATAGCCCGAAGATCATTGGCCACGATCTTGCTCGTAGCTCCATTCTTCATCGTGTCCTTCAGGCTGTACTGAGTTGGGGCATCTTTCTGTGCTGGCTGCATGACGCGGTCGATGTGCTGCTTGACTTTGAAGGCTGCACTCGCTGCGATAACACTCAAAAGGGTGAGCATCATCATCACGACCGTTGTGGAATAGCCAAAATGGCTCTCATCACCTGCAGGGCTTGAGATCGCGACTGGCTGGTAGCCACCTTAATTATCTCAGTAGCATCTGCGCGTCCCACTTGAAGAAACGCACCAAGACCCACCAAGCATTGGGCAAGTGCACCCATCAGTTCCAGCGCAGGTTTACCGATCTGGCCCTTCTTGTCGTTGCTTGAACTCGACAATCCTCCAACTTCACCTTTTCCAGTAAGCCGCGCCTTCAGTGCCGTCAGATGCTTCGTGCAATCGATCCTCGACAGATGCTTCGCCCCGGTGTCTGGTGTATTCTCCTCGGTATGGACCTTATTGGTGCTGACCTTCGTCTCTGACTTCCGTGCGACGAGGTCCTTGATCCACAGGTCCTTCAGCTCGATATGCCGCATCCTACCAACTCCCTTCTTCTCGACGTTCGTGAGCGCGCTAGAGTTGTCACTCTCCAGCGTCACAGGCGCTGCGTCGTCCAGGAGCTTCTTGAGATATGTCTGAGCACCCCTCGCCTCGATACCGACGTGCACGAGCGCGTTGAACTCGGCCTCGGGCGACGACAGTGCTGGAGCCCCCCGTGGTTTGACAAACTGCATGACCAAAGCTCAATTGAGAAACAACTGACCACAGCTGGTAGACTTCCTTCCGATTGGATCATCCACCCAGTTTGAATCTGCACGTCCTATGATTCTGAACTCACCACTGTCTGGATACATACATGTCACCGACGACGGATGAGCTCGAATGAACCTGATGATACGTATAAGTCTCGTCTGGTCCTGCACCGTCGCCGCGTGCTGGCACTCGGGCCTCTCTAAGCAAACGAACATGTTGAGGCCGTTGATGCTCCTGAACCTCGTGGCCGCCGTAGCGCCCGACTCCTCCTCGCTCTCGACCTTCCTCTCATTCTTGATTCTAGGTATTGGGCTCGTCTTCGTATCATTGGGCTCAGAGCCGAGTAGCTTCTTCACAATAGCAGGCCACATGCGAACTTGAATACCCTCGGGGGTACGGAGCCAGCCACGTCCAAGATGCTTGATATCTGGACCACCAACCGTAAGTTCTGAAACCTTAAGCAGAAAGTGTGTGCCGAGCTCCTCCAAAACTCTGCTGGCTGAAACTCTAGGCCCAACCAGCGTACCGTCATCGACATGCTTGGCCATCGCCACCTGATTGGTCCTGTCTGCGAACGCGCACGGATCCGACAGACACCTCTTGAAAATCATATTTGATTCATCACTCCGTCCTGTAGCAATGTTCTCGAAGTGGTCATCGACATAGATCATTGCCTCGTTGAGTCCATAAACCGTCTTGTTGATCTTGAAAACCAAATCTGAACTGTCTGGTGAGTGGCAGTACTCCTTCGGAACCTCAGCGTAGACCAACTCCCGAATAGGTGTATGCAGAAACGCCCGGGATATGTCGAATAAGTAAATCGCAAAGTCCTTCACTTTAGCGTACACCATGAGCAACTTGAATGAAAACGAAAGGGGAGTGGGGCAGTACAGCTCGCTCTTGCTCTTGTTAATCTGCATGCCAAATGGCCCTGCACAAAGCCTTGCCTTGAGCTCGCCACTCCTCATCTCCAAGACCCATGCCCACGTAAGCGCCTTGGGCCCGTGAGGGCCCCTGAGGGTGAGCTCCCACGCGTCGTAGTTGTCGAACCGATCCAGCTCGCACTGCTTCGCCTCCCACTCGTCGTCCTCCGCCCAGCCCATCACGACGCTGCACTCGCTGTCGTCCTTCGTCTCCTTGTCGAGCTCGGCCACAAGCCTCATCATCCCCACGGTGCTGAAGCCTGCCGCGAGCCTCTTGAGGTCCTCCGTGCTCATGCCCTCGATGGCCCCCACCAGACCTCGACTGCCAGGTGGGCCCCCGGGGCCGCCTTCGCCAAGGTCTGCGTCAGCAGCTCCCCGTTTGCTAGACGATCCTGGGGTAGGAGCATCCTGCCTGCCACGAAGCCCCCTCTCGATCCTATGCGCCTGCTGCCGAACCTCCGAAACTGGATCTCGACTTTGCGCTGGCTCTGGCCCTGCTGGTGCTTGCTGATTGCCATGACCTGCCTCGGAGCTGATCGCGGGTGCTGAAACCACGACGACCTTTGGCTGCTCCTCGGTCTTGCTGGCAACAGTCTTCTCATACTCGGCCCGACGCTGCTGGCATGTCCTGCTGTGGCGTGGTGGTCGGCCACGTCCGTGCTGACCCTTTGCTGCGTACTCACGCCCAGGACACCCCTCCGTTGGCTGCCAGTCCTCGCCGTCATAGGCTCCAGCCTTCACCGATGTCTTCCACGGCGTCCATCGCATAGCTCTGAGAATCTCCGTATTGAAACTCTCTTCCTTCGTAAGCTGCTTCACCGTCCTGGCTTGAAGTATCCCAGTTGCTGCACCTATAATGTGAGCGTCGCTCTTCGTACTGCGTCCAAGCCGCATCCCTTTGCACCAGGCCGTGCCCAGCTTGTCCTGCGGCGCAGTGTGCTCCTTACCGATCACCGTCTCCCCGAACTCCAGCATGGGCGATGTATACGGTGCCAATCTCAACTCCTCAAAAGATGTGCGACCGCTGCTCCTCCTCCGCTGGTATGTGTTTTGGCAGAATACCTGATGACGTATCATCCAGGGAATGACGAGAACATCCTCCGTGAACTTCATGTTGCAAGGTCTCTCCAGAGCCAAACGCCCAGTCCTGGCAAGACCTGCTACAGACTTGACTCCACTCTCAGCTCCTCCTTGAGACGCATGGCCTCCTTTCGGAACCAGCCGTATTCGGAGTTGAGCCTCTGCAGCCCCCTTGCCAAGCTTCTTGATACGCTCAGAAACAACTCCATTCATGCGTGCCCCCAGCGCAGGCTCGCCGTCCAACTGCACATCCATGCTCATGTAGCCCAGCTCGTCCAAGAACTCGCTGGTGGCTGCTATGGCGTAGCTCTGGCCCCCTTTCGCCTCGACAACAACTTTCATGAGATACCCAGTCCTTCGGTCCTTGCCCACTGCCAGGGTGAGTGTGTGACCAGCGCCATCTTCGCCAAGACTGAGAAACACATAGACAAATGAAACAACTGGAGTAGCCGGTGCGTTTGGATCCCTTGCGCGGTGAGGGCCCCCTTGCCCCCTTCCCATTATGCACTCCTGACGCCGTGCCTCGAAAGGTACACGGCCTCTCCGAATGTGCGCTCTGACAAGTTCTCCCAACGCTTGAACTGGCTTCTTATGACCAGGTGCGGCGGGCGCCCCTGGCGAATCCTGGGCCCCGCAAGCGGCGCCACGTGGGCCATCGCGTGAACTAGCCGCCCCACTGCTGACCTGCATCTCGGCAAGCTCCTTCTCGACGGACTCCTCCTACATCTGTGCGTCCTCCGTCTCAGGTTGCTCGTCGACGTCCCCGATGATGGACTCGTCGCCCGTCGGATCCTTGAACCTCATTGGAAGAAGAAATGCGTTCACCTTCCGACGTAGCTTGAGTGAAACAGTAGACTCCAGTGCTTTGTCAATCTCATGCTGCACATTCTTGTTGCCCCTGAACATCTTGGCTCCGTCAGGGCCAAAGTGTACTGAATAGCCTGCATCGTTCATCTCCGCGACTGAAAGAGCACCTCTACGGACTTCAGCTGGCGTGTCGTTGAGCTCCGCACTGATCGTCGTGTTCGAATCGAAAACCTCTCCAGTCAACGTGCGCTTGCCCCATGTCCGTATACCCTTTCCAATAATCGATCGCAAAGACTGACCTGGCTCGCCCGTGAGTTCGCACCCCTCTGTCATAGTCTTTGGTACGACATGAGCGCGAACTCCACTGTCAACGAGCATCTCGCATTCGCCCCAGTCGTGGTCGTCCGTGAACGCAAACATCCAACCCGCTTCGTCCTCTGGTAGTACTGCCGCCTGCACCCGTCCAGGCACACGTGTCGTGGCCTGCGTAGGTACCGACATCTGTGGTGCTGAGTCGCCTGGATGGACCGTACTTGCTGTGCCCGATCCAGGTCGTTGTGAAGATCCTGGTTGGACCTCCGACACGGACCGTTGACCTCCTCCAGACTGGCATGCGCCGCCACCGTACTTCCTGCAATCCGCCATCTTGCGCCCATACTTGCCGCAGTGTGGGTTAGAGCACCATCCGTCAAAATACTTCACCGCACCCTTCTTACAGTTGGTCTTGCCTTTGCCGTCGCTTTTGCCGCCTCGGCCCCCTGCGCCCCTTTGGCCACCCGCCTTGCCGCCTTTCATGTCCGACCTGCCGTAGCCCTTCCCCTTGGAGTCGCCCTTGCCACCTTTGCCGAAGGCGTCTACGCCCATGGCATTGGGGTCGAACTTTTTCTGGGCCGTCTTCGTGTCTCGCTGGCTCATCTGCTGAGCGAAGGACTCGCAGGTCTCACGTAGAGTCTGATAAGCCGTGAACATCATCACCTGTGTCCTGAGCGGCCCGGGCGTGTTCTTCTTGATCATAGCCTGGATGAGGGTGTCCGAGATCATCTCGCTAAACTTCTCCTGGTACCGATTGACGTCAAACAGAAACTTCATGAGGTCTTCGACGTAGGTCTCCCACTTGCCTGACAACTCCGTGTTCACTAACAGCTGCAGCTGCGTCACCTTGTTGGAGCTTGTCGCCGCATCTTCTCGCATGCATAGTCGTCTCCACTGCTCCAATCCATTTCCCTACTCACAATTCATCACCAAGGTGAGCGCGCTGCCTCCCAACAGCTGTGACAGAATGTATCCCATCGTCGCTGCATACTGCTTGTTATCGTCTCCCATCTCGGTCAACGTGATGACCGTGCCGTGGCTAACTGCCGTTGTGACCGCTGATGCCAACCTCGGGTCGATCGCGCCAAGGTAGCTGATCAGCTGATATCTGAAAGTCGGAAACTCATCTCGATTGCCTGAATACTTGTTCGGTCGTCCCAACAGGCGCGTGTCTACAAGACCAGCAATCTGGAGAAGAAACCAATCACGCTACCATGCAAGTACTAAATAATAAGTGTATGTTATCTTGATAATCTCGGGTAGCGGAGCTGGGGTCCACGGACCTTGCCCGACAGGGCTGGTGACATCTCTTTTCCACCTCATGAACTGAGCCAAAATTGGCTCTGCACAGTACACAAATGTTACAACAGCGCATGCACAACAATCCTCACTCAATTCACTGATATATCCCTTGTTTCCTGCATATGATTATTATTATTCGTATTATTATTATCATTAGTATTATTAATATTATTAGTATTTGTATTACTTTTATAAGTCTTCTTCTTATTAGTATCATCATTATTATTACTACTACTACTACTACTACTATTATTCAGTTTGTTCTTCCTCCTCCTCCTCCTCATCCTCCTCCTCCTCCTCCTCCACCTTCTCCTCCTCCTCCTCCTCCTCCTCCTCCTCCTCCCCCTCCTCCTCCTTCCCTACCTCCTCCTCCTCCTCATCCTCCTCCTCCTCCTCCACCCTCCTCCTCCTCCTCCTCCTCCTCCTCCTCCTCCGCCTCATCCTCCCTTTCCTCCTCCTCCTCCTCCTCCTCCTCCTCCTCCTCTTCCTCCGCCTCCTCCTCCTCCCAGGGGGGGCTGAGAAACGAGCGCCCTGCGTGCCCCTCTTGGGCCCCAGGGGTCCCCTCCTATGGCACCCAGGGGGCACAAGAGGTGCGCGTTCCCCCGCCGCCCCCCCTCCCCCCCCCCCTCAACCGCCCCTTCCCCAGCGCGCCACGCCCGAAGGGGGAATGGGGGGGCGGGGGCTGCACGGTTTCCCCAAGGGCCGCAGGCGACCCAAGGAGGAGGGAGGAGGAGGAGGAGGAGGAGGAGGAGGAGGGAGGAGGAGGACGAGGAGGAGGAGGAAGAGGAGGGCGGAGGAGGAGGGCGGAGGAGGAGGAGAAGGAGGAGGAGGAGGAGGAGGAGGAGGAGGAGGAGGAGGAGGAAGTGGCTGAGGAGAAGGAGGGGGAGGACGGGTCGCCTGAGCCTCTCGGAGAGAACCCCCCACCGGGGGAGGGGGCCAGGGCGCGGAGTCCGCCATCATGTGGGGCGCGGGCAGGCGTGCTCGCCGCTGGCGCTCGTCGCAGCGGCGACAGGTCGAGGGAGGACAGGAACCCGCTCTGGAAGAGCGCCCTCTGCTGAAAGCGGCCCGGGGAGGCGGTCGCAGGCCCGCGACAAGTGGCGGCCGCAGCACCCTCTCGCCAGAAGCTGGACATGGGGCTCCCGCGGGCGGCTGCGCGGAGCGGCCTGGCAGCGATCCGGCCTGTCGCCAGCGCAAGGGAGGCCAATCCTGTCACCTGCCTTACAATCGAAGCGTGTGGCAAGGACGGGTGGTAAGGACGCAGGACCCTCGGAGGCCGAAGTTGGGATCTTTGGGGCGGCGGGCGCCCAGTGGAAACGGCAAAGGACGGGCCGCAGAGGCAAGGAGACAGGGTGCCTTAGGTGAAGGCGCGCGTCCTTACTGGGCGCGTTGACTGTAGGAAGACGAGCGGGGGTCAGGGACCCCTCGTGTTGGGGAAACCAAGAGGTACCGATACCCGATACCGCTGCTCCCCGGACCTCTACCAGGGTGCGTTCTGACCAGGATGTCGAGGCGAATCCAATGGTGGCGACGAGGGCATCCCAAGAGGCCGTAAAGGCGAAAACGAGGGAAGGGCAGCAGTACAGTGCGGGCGCGGTCGCAAGAAACCCTCGCAAGAAACCCAACCCTGAAAACCCGCGCGCGAGGTGCAACTGAGGGGAGACCCGGAGCACCCCGAACGCAGCAGCTCCTTCAACGGCCACGGGAAGTCGCCGCGCGTCGCGCGGAGCGAAGAAACCCAGGGTACCCTGACGAAAAGTAAATGGTTTCTTGATGCGCGCCCCCACTGCATGGGTACCTGTATTCCCCCCTGGCGTACCGGTCCCCGAGGCAGGCAGCGGGGAGCGCGTGCGTCGGGGGAAAAAGCTCCCTGGGGGCCCAGAAGGATTCCTCGCCGGAAGCTCGCCGGAAGCAGCCGTGGCACTGGCGTGCGCCCAGGGGCAGAGGAGGTTGGCAGCTCCCAGGGCGGCGGAGGCCCATGGAAGCAACCGGGCGGGGGGCGGCAAGCTTCGGTCGGGCATGTCCTCCCACAGGCGGACGTTCGAAGAAAGCTGCACTGGAGTCAACCAACAAGCAGAACTCGTGACACAAAAAAACACGAGTACTCGTCCCCAGTCGCTTGTTTGCACTATTCTTGCGTATTCGTGCTGCGGAGGGATTCGCCCGGCTTAACGATATGCAATGGGGGGGGAGAAACGTGCACCTTTCGTCCCCCTTTTGCGCCTTCCTTCCCCCGTCCACCCCATTCATCGACCCCCCATGACTTCGCTCCGTCGGCCGCCGCGGCCCATGCCCGAGAGGCGCGGTGGGGGGGACGATTCAAGAAATAGTTTCCGGAGCCGGGGACCATCTTTAAACATTGCCTGGACAGTTGGATGGCGTTAGGTCGGACCTGTTGGTTGTGGACGAAAAATAAAACATACTCAAACAAAACTCGAAAGATGCCCAAACATACAAACAAAAAAGAAAAAGTCCCCAGACTATTTGACTATGTTTGAATATTGCCCCTGTATAGAGGGGCAGGCCCGACTTGAGGACGGCGGGACCCCCCCGGGCGTTTTCTGATCTTTTGCTCGCCGGCGTGGGCGGCCTCGCCGAGGGCAGGCCGGCGGTGCGAGAGCTGGCGGAGGCAGACCGGCAGACCACCGCATCTTTTCAAATATTCTCTTGCGCAGCTGTGTTCTAGAGCTCGAACTTCTTCATGTTCGTTCGTCGTCGTCGTTCGATCGCTCGTCGTTCGTCTTTCCCCCCTGGCCACAGAAGGAAACTCCTGGAGGAAGGAGGCGAAAGCCTCCTGTCCCTCGCAACTCCTCGGTGCAAGAGCCAGGGCACGCGTGCCACTTGTTTCGGCACGCCTCCCACAGCTTCCACACCAGCTGGCACTGCGAAGCAACTCGCCTGACCACTAATAAAAAATCGTGGGACTCGGCTGGGAGAAAAGGAAGGAGGGCGAGCAGAGGAGGGAGGGGACGAGAGGATAGAGGATGGGGACGCCAACTGGCGGCCGATGTGCATATCCTCTTGACAATTATGGGGCCACTGGCTGCAGAAATGTTGTGAGGCGGGAAGCAGGGTGAAGCTACATTCGTGAATCGCTGAGACCTGGCGGCTCTGGAATGTGTATCAGCCGCCGCGGCCATTTCAAAGCGCTCCAGAACGCTCTGAGCTGAGGGCATTCCAGAACGCTCTGTAGAAATGGTCTTCATCCTGGGCCTGCATTGCACAGGAAGCTGGCGGAAGCTGGCGGAAGCGAAAGATGTTGGGGTAGGGCGCACGGGGATTCAAACACCATACGTAAAAGTAGGTATACTCCTTGGCCCAGATTCCCACAATCGACATCGAAGCGGCAAGTCGTTGCACCAGCCTCTGCATACACAGCTGAGGAAATAGTGCCGCTAAAATAACGCTTCCCACCAAACGCTTCCAATCTTGCGTGTCCAAAGTGAACGACGCATTGCATGTTCCCCGTCCCCTCGCCAGCGCACATTTGCCACGAACAATGACGCGGTCTTTGCCCTTTTCCCACCAGTGCCAGGAACATGTCTGTTGAGCGCGGCGGCTACGGACGAGTCTGGCCCCGCCAAGGTTCATGGAGCCCTCTGGCCCCGGGTAGTTTCGCGGATCAGCTCTTCCAAACCCCTCTTCGTCCCCCTCCGGGAGGAGGTCACCCCTCCCTACCACACTCGCCATCGCTCGGACGTCAAGTCCCCGTGCAGTCACCTGTCGCGTGCGCATTTTTTCGTAATGACCCAAGAAACTCGTCGATGGTCCTCGCCGAAGCAAGAATGCACAGGTCCGAGCGATGCCAAGCCACACCCGCCACGCCGCAGCACTTCTCCCCCCGCCTGTGGACTGCGGGCGGCTAACAATCCGGCGCGGCGGCCACCCCTGGTCAACCTTGCAGAGATGGACGAGCCGCGGACGTGCTCAAGAGACCGGGCCAGCTGCCCGGCAAGCTGGTTCAGCAGCGCTGGCACAGCTTTTTCGGGCGGAGGCTTCTCGATCCGATGCTCCACTGTCGTTTCGCGGATCCGCTCTTCCAGCCCCCTCTTCTTCCCCACTCCGGGATTGGGGTCGCCCCTCCCCCTCACACTCGCCCCGCCGCAACACCTCTTCCCCCCCCCCCCCCCGCCTATGGGCCGGAGGCGGCCCGCAATCTCTGGCGTGGCGGCCACCCCTGGCCAGCCTTCGAGAGATGGACGAGCCGCAGACGAACAGCCATGTGCTAGCGGCGAACGAGGGGGGGAAGTCAGAAGGATATGGCCATCTAAGGAGGCGGAGGGGCTTCTCCTCAGAAGCCATCCGGCCTTCTGAAAGGTGTTTTGTGCCTTCGGGGAAGGCTCAGATTTTTTTTCAGAAGGCCGAGGGGCCTCCAAGCCTCCTGAGAAGGCGCGCCACCTCTCACTTCCTCTCCTGGCTCGACGAGCCGCGGATGAAAAGCTATGCTATCTGTCGCGAAGACTCGGGGACAGATTTGAAGGATGGGACGGCCCGCGACGGATTAAGTCGGGCCTGTCCCTCTACAGGATGATTTTTTTTATAAAAAAACTACGAAACAGACATATGGGGACAAATTGTTT